ACGGGGGTGGTGGCGCTGTCCATTTCCCCCCCTGGCCATGGCTAAGGGCAATATGGGTGGAGTTGCTCTAATAGAGGTGGCCCCATTGTATTGGTGGGCTCCACCTCTATTAAAGAGGTGGTACAATTGTGGTATGAAAAATGTGGTAAGCTTAACATTACTCTTGTTATTTTTCTTGTTGAGCTTTGATTGAATGAAGACATTTGTATATCACATCCCTATACCATCTTATGTGGCAATAGATGTGGACAACCACATCAATTAAAATTATTTAATATTTTCTTTTCTTTTATGATTTATTCCAGTATTTGTTTTTCTAATTGTCTTAATTAAAACACATTGATTTAATTGATGTGACATATAATATGGACATACCACATTATGTGATATAGAAATATAGGGTAAAAATATGGTAAGTATAGCATTACTCTCGAATGAAATAGACATTTAGTGCCCATTCAAACTCCTAGGTAGGCCTCTCGCATAACCCCAACGTGGCAAAAACGCCAAAGAATATACAACTAAGCTTGCCGAATAAGCCACATCGGCCTACGTGTCACTACGGCTAAGAATAAAATATAAGAATCCGGTAAAAAATAAAAAAACACAAACCAAAAACGTATTTCTTTCTCTGGAAATTTCCTCACATTTTCTCTCACGAGCAGCCACAGCCACCACAACCGCCACCACTAGACCAGCTAGGGTTTCTGGTGGGTTCTATTGAAGCTTCCTGGACAAAGAAAGAGTTCTCAAGTCTCCATCATATCCCCGGTATTCCAGGTAAATTACCATTCATGCCATCGCTTCCGCCACCGCCCCCACCCTTCTCTCTATGCATTTCCACTCATTCACAACGCTGAGGTTCTTCGAATCTTGTGTACTTTATATTACTTGATTGTTTGAATCTTTACTCCCTTAAAAACTGAATTTATTTACGGTTTTGCCATTGCATCACTCACAAGCTACTAAAAGCTTCATAAGATGTATGCGTGATTGAATTTTTTTGATTCGCGTTTGCCACTAATAATTTTGAATAATTCTGGTTATGCCACTGCGCTTGTTGCAAAGCGTTATGCCCGAATCACATTCTTGTATATTTTAAGTATTGGTAGTTTTATTGAGCAATTAGGGTTTTGGGTTTTTATCTGCAGTTTCAATGGCAAAAGCTGCAGCAGGAACTGATAACCCTGCCACCCCAACCGCTGTCCGGATCGTTGTGGCTGGAGACCGTGGCACTGGGAAATCGAGCTTGATTGTGACTGCTGCAACCGAGAACTTCCCAGCAAATGTGCCTCCGCTGCTGCCCCCAACCAGGCTGCCTGAAGATTTCTACCCTGAACGTGTGCCCATCACCATTATCGACACATCATCTCGGTATGAATTTCATACTTGACATAAGGAAATGCTTGGTTTAGTTGCTGAGAAATGTAGGAAAGGAAAAGAGAATTAGTCACGTTCGTCAGTCACCCTCCTGCTGAGATTGAATTGTTTCACTCTGTTTACTGAATCAGACCGGAGGATAATAGTAAAGTTGCTGAAGAATTGAAGCGAGCTGATGCAATTGTGCTCACGTATGCTTGTGATCAGCCTCAGACTCTTGATCGACTGAGCACCTTCTGGCTTCCAAAACTTCGTCAGCTAGAGGTGTGTGCATGCCTTTTTTTGTTTTTTTTTGTTTCCTTACTACATATGGTGTACTACTTGATAAGTTTAACATCCAATTTTTATAAAGAGAAAACTAGAAGAACAAAACACCTGATGAAAACCTTAATCTCAACAGTATATCATTCGCTGTGAAAATGAAGGCCAATAAATTTATTGTTGAACTGATCTGTTTGAAAAGTGGTTTGATATAGACGTTAAAATAAACAACACCTGTCTTTTAGTATTACTTCTGATGGGGAAATATCAAATTTAATGAGCAGGTGAAGGTACCTGTTATAGTGGTCGGTTGTAGGCTGGATTTGAGAGATGAGAACCAACAGGTGAGCCTGGAACAAGTGATGTCACCAATAATGCAACAGTTTCGGGAGATTGAGACTTGCATTGAGTGTTCAGCGTTTAAGCATATTCAGGTATGTAGTAATGGCTCCTCTATTTTCAAGTTCTGCTGCTTCTTAGTATGTCACTGTTTTGTGAAAACATGCACCATATGATGTGTTGCATTTCTTCATACTTTATTATGTGTGTTTGGGTTGGCTGCTAATGATTGGGGACTTGTTTATTGTATTTCACACATTTATATGAACTACTTGTGTGTTACATTCGCTAAAGTTTTATTTAATGGCTACCAAGGATCTAGTTTCAATCGATGGCTTTATGTTGCAAGTATTTTTTGTTATTTTGGCATTGACACTGTAATTCTCTGACTATACTATCGAACGCTTTGTATTTTCAGATTCCTGAGGTCTTTTACTATGCACAAAAAGCTGTTCTTCATCCAACAGGCCCATTATTCGATCAGGAAACACAGACTTTGAAGGACCAATGTGTGCGAGCCTTGAAGCGGATTTTCATTCTTTGTGATCATGACAGGGATGGTGCCCTCAGTGATGCAGAGTTGAATGATTTCCAGGTTATCTTTTTATGTTTTTCAAAGTCCTAGTGTTCTATGTGATCTTTTGATATGATCTTATGGCATATTCTCGAATCTCCTTAGCTCAATTCATGGTAACTTGTTCCTGAGATTCATGAATATTTCAATGCTTATTGTAAACAGGTTAAATGTTTCAATGCTCCATTGCAACCTTCTGAGATAGTGGGTGTTAAGAGGGTTGTGCAAGAAAAGTTACCGGAAGGAGTCAATGAACGTGGGCTTACATTGACAGGATTTCTCTTCCTTCATGCACTATTTATAGAAAAGGGACGTCTAGAGACAACGTGGACTGTCCTCAGGAAGTTTGGATACAATAATGATATAAGACTTGCAGATGAACTAATCCCATCTCCTATGAAACGGACTCCTGATCAGGTAATATTTATTGAGTTTCTGTTTCTATTATGCGCTGACAGTGTTGAGATACTTTATTACGTGCTGATGTTTCATGCTGAAGCGAAGTAGAGATCCCTTGATTTTTGAGTAATCATTTTCAAGAATTTAGTACCTTATTTATGTTATTTTGCCATCAGTGCCTGTATTTTGGTTAAAATTGATTATTCAATGAGTGTTAGAGTCCTATTAATTAAGTACCTTATTCTGACCATTTTGAACAAGCCAGTGGCCCAGAGCTACTCTCTGCTGTTATCTAGGTCTGTGCTTGTGTGTTGCCTAATCAGTAATTCTCTTTACATATACATATTCTTTGCTAGAACCATAGAAGCATCAATCCAAACCGGGCCTTCGAGAGACAAGACTGGGCCCTATATATGATGTGTCATAATCATGCCACCTTAATTGCATCATGTTCATGAAATTCTTTTATTAATTATACAATATTCCATTATGTCCTAAAAATTTATTTTACTTTTACATTTTCTGAAGCTGTTTTATGTTTAACTTTGTTGGCATGTGGGCAGAGTGTGGAGATGACAAATGAAGCAATCGACTTTCTAAGGGTAACATTTGACGTGTTTGACAGTGACGAAGTATGTCTCAGTACTGATCTTTTCAAATGCTACATTCTCTTATCCTAGATATGTTAATCTTGAAGACGTTTGTTCTTTCCACCAGGATGGGGCCCTACGACCACGTGAACTTGATGAACTATTTTCTACTGCTCCAGCAAGGTAATTGTATTTCTTGAGAATCATTTTTTAAATTTCAATTTGTTTTAGTTGGTTGCAACTTCTTTCTTTTCCATATGAGGTCCTGTTTGCAGTTGTGTTTTCACTTCATTTTTGCTCATCTGTTATTATGATGTAATGTAAGAGTGTTAAATCTCAAGAAATTTATGATCAACTTGATGTGTCAATCTTTGTTGGTGAGTAGAATCTTGATATTATAATTTGTACACATGGCCTAGCTGTTGTAACTTATAATTCATGACTTTCTACCTAAATGTTGGTTTTCAGTTAAAATTTTGGTCTGTTGAAGCTTCATAGTTCATAATGTTTTCAAAGTTCTTAATATTGATAAATTCTTTACTCAGTCTAGTTCACTACAACCCTAGCTATGAATATCTTGGCATGTTTTAAGTTTTGCCCTTTGATGTTGCAGTCCGTTTAGTGAATTGCCATATACGGATGCTGCAGAGAGAAATGCATTTGGAGGGTTATCACTTGATGGATTTTTGTCACAGGTATGTATGCATATTTCTGTGTCTCTCTCTGGTGGGGGAAGGGATATTATGCTCTTTGTTCTTGTTACTATCCAAGTCTTGAATTATACATGGATTTATAATTGCATTAACATTCGTAGTCATGTTTGTACTTTATCACATGTAACATGCATTTACAAACAATTGTTATTTTTTCTCTTTAGCATGTACCCACATATTTATGAGTAATATGCATAATTTCAGTGGGCCCTCATGACACTCCTAAACCCAGCTTCTACGATGGAGAATCTGATATACATTGGTTATCCTGGTGATGTTTCATCCACAATCCGTGTGACTAGGAAGAGGCGTTTAGACCGCAAGAAGCAGCAATCGGAAAGAAATGTTTTCCAATGCTTCGTTTTTGGTCCAAAGAAGGCTGGGAAGTCTGCACTATTGGATTCATTTCTTGGAAGGTCTATCTTATGGATTATCATCTAGATTTATTCTCCTTTGAATTTAGTTTTTATTTATTTATATTACATTACTTAACATTTTTTTTATGATAACTGGAAATGCAGGCCATTTTCTGATAATTATAATCCAAACACTGAGGAGCGTTATGCAGTTAATGTTGTTGATCAACCTGGGGTAAGTTGTACTACATGAAACACCTTGTGTCTTGACAATTAGATGGAATATGCTCTCTCTCTCTCTCTCTCTGTGTATTCCTCAGAGCCCGAAACTTATCGTGGGGAAACAAGAAAGCAGCAATGTAAAAGCCCCCTTTTAGAAAATTAATTGAGTGTATCAAGTTTTACCTCTAACATGAACTAGGTTATTAATGTATTAGCTCATCGCTGAACATTGTTGAGTGCATGCTTAATTGCTTACAGTTATTCTGAGCTTTTATTTATAAATAATTTTCGTATGTGTACAACTATAGTTTGATTGGCAATCTACATTTTTTGTGAGGTCTATTATTAGTCCTTTTAATGGGTTGTCTAATTTTTTAAATATGTTTTTCACAGGGAATCAAGAAAACCCTAGTGTTGAGAGAGATTCCTGAAGATGGAGTTAGCAAATTGCTGTCAAGTAAAGAGGCTCTGGCTGCTTGTGACATAGCTGTGTTTGTTCACGACAGGTAAGCAGAAGCCTAAAATGGTTGTGTAATTTCCTATTCTGTTTTTTCATCTTTTGGTATTATTTTGCTAGTTATTTCTCCTATTTCAGTCTTAAGTTTATGTTTCCAGATGTAAAACATTTATTATACTTTGATATATCTTTTCCTATTTTGTATTTAAAAGTGGGGCCCTCATCTAATGTAAATGGTAAACTTCCGTTGTTTAGAAAACTGGCAAATTTATAGATAAGCAGAATATCTTTGTTTCGGCTGTCTAGAACTAGATGGCAAAAAAACGAAAACGGTCATTGTTGAGGATGGCTTGTGTATGTGATTACTGCACACATGTATTCTGTATGTACCCTACTCTTTAGGTTGTTGGCTAAGAGCATTACTTTAACATGTGTATATTCTTTCCTTACTGTTGAAAATTCATTTTATTTACTGTTGAATTACCTATAAATTCTAATAGTTGGTGCCTTCTTCTTTGCTAGTTCTGATGAGTTGTCCTGGACGAGAGCAACTCAGTTGCTGGTAGAAGTTGCTAGTCATGGTGAGGATACTGGCTTTGAGGTTCCTTGCCTCATTGTTGCAGCTAAAGATGATATGGATTCATTCCCATCGGCCATTCAACATTCTACGAGGGTATTTTGATGTTTTTTTTCATTGACTATATTTTCTTTGCATATACTTTTCTATGTAAATTGGAATTGTAATATTAGATATCAATATATTCTCTTATGTAAAACAAGAATGAACACATCTTTAATATGCTCGTGCAGGTTAGCCAAGATATGGGAACAGAGGCTCCTATACCTATCAGCACAAAGTTGGGTGATTTGAATAATTTATTTCGTAAAATTGTAAGTGCTGCAGAGCACCCTCATTTGAGCATTCCTGAAACTGAGGCTGGGAGGAGCCGCAAGCAATACCACCGGCTCATAAACCGCTCACTTATGGTTGTTTCTGGTATGACGACCTTTTGCATTTCGATTGTTCATTTACATGGTTCTTGTCATTTTTTATATCTACTAATGACATGTGGGCCTCATGGCACATCCTTGCCCTTAAGAAGAGGGGTATAGGGTGACTACTGGGGTTCAATACCTGGTGGATGCATGTGTAATGTGTCTTTTGAGAAGAAAGGAATTGTTAGAACTGCTAGGGTAATTTAAATTTTCTGGGTTTTGAAATAATCTGCTCACTTTTAGGAGAAGTTTATATTAAAAAGGCACGCATTTGAATGGATTTTCCGTTAATAAACAGTGGTCAAAGTTCAAATTTGTTGGTCATGAGTATTCCCTTCTGGATGGGGTTTCTAATGAATTTGGTTCAGCAATTTTCGATGATTATCTGTGTTTGGTTAAATGTTTGCTTTGTTGTGACCAAGCTTTATCTGTCAATTTGTTTGCACCAAGCTTAGTGGTTATAATTTAGGTTGTGGACTTTATGGAATTTGTGTTGCTCTTCTCAGTGGGAGCTGCAGTGGCCATTGTTGGACTGGCAGCTTACCGTGTCTATGCTGCAAGGAAGAATGCCTCCGGTTAGAGGATAAAGGATGAAGTTTCATGTGCATCAACTGACTTATTACTTGAGGCCGACTTTCTGCAAACTTGATGGCTTCACGAAGCGGTCATCTTCAGTTCCCCATTTTGTTGGGTGGATTTGCAGAGAGATTGCAAGTATCTGTTTAATTATTACACCCTTGAAACCTTTCAACTCTTGCCGTCTCGGCAGGGTTGTATCAAGTGCGCTAAATGTTTCCTTTCCATCGGGTTCCCATTGTGCCTATGGCTAAAGCTCTTTGAAACAGATGATATACAACTTACAAGGGTAAATTCGTTTTTTGCGTTTGTCATTTCCATAAGCGTCCAATAATATGTTAATAGAGATAAATTCAGTTTTAATATCATCAAAAATGGAAACGCTACACGCCAGGAAGATTTCTTTGGAGGGCCATTAATTAAGGCCGTAGAGGATTGGTTTTACTTTTAATTTTGATAAGGTGGTGTCCATAATTAAGTATTTGCATATGTTGCCCCCCTTTATTTGTTTGTTTGGTTGAATGTTTCCCCTTTTATTAATAGTTATCATCTTCATAAGATGCCAAAATTAATTACTTGAGGAAAGGTGCTGGGTCCGGTCCATCTGTGTAGTGGTGTGTATGAGTTTTGTATATTATTGTCTCTCAACAAGAAATATCCTAAAAAAAGAAAGAAAAAAAAAAAGATAGCAAATCGTGCATTTTATTGTATATATTCAGGAAAAACCCACAAGTCTACACAGATTGGGTACAAATTGTTCGATAAAATTGGCATAGTAATACTTAAAAGAAGTTGTGTTAACATAGTATTGTAAAATTTAAGGACTAGTTTAAAACCAAGGTTCCCTAATGTATTTTACATTTTTTCTATTTGAATTTGAATCAAATTCGGTGTCTGAACACCATACACAAAGGCGTTTTGTTTTGTCAGTCCCCACGGATGCTGGACACCCTCATTAAGCGACTAATTTGTTTCTCTCCAACACCTTCATCCTCAAGCTGCCGACAGTATTTTCCAAACGTGTCTATCGTTACATGGAGTTTAAAATCCAGACTCAACAAGAATTCAATCTCTAATTTGTTCAACTCTGATAAGCTCACACCTCCAATTTTGGCATAGTAGGCGTTACTATAACATCTGCAGTCACAGGAAAAGTAACTCAACAGTCATGAACATCACCAATAGATAACACTTGGTGCCCCGGTAACAGCTAAAACACAAACCAAATGATCACAAAAAGTAACCGTTTTAAACATGAAAAGTAGGCACTTACTCATCATCCATAAATTTTGCAGCGACCACAATGCTGGTGATCAAAAGGCGGTGAATGTTGAGGGAAGTAAGACAAATCCCTCTGCGTTGAAGGAACCTTTCGATGTATATGTATGCAACAACAAAGCAAGAAGGGCTGCAGCTTGAGTACTTGAAAATGCGCTCGATATACCGTCTGATGCTCAAGGCGGGAACTTCTGATGCATGGAACATTGTAATCACATCTTTCATCTTTGATCCCCTAATTAATTTCTCATTCTTTCGAATGGATCTCTCTAAAACCGAAGAAACAACCGATAAAACTCGCGGCGTTCTTGTTGCAGATTCTTCCAATATTCCCACAGCGATGAACACCATGCCATCAAGTGCCGCTGTTCCCATGTTTAATTAAAGAGACAATTTTGATGTTATGTTAGCTCTGAAAGATGCATATATGTATACACATATTGTGGCTCAATTCTTGGCTACTTTACTTATTCTTTTCTTTTCTTTAACTCCACTTAGAGATATACATGATAATAGTATAAACTACGGCATAAATTAAGGCATATATTCAATAGCAAAGAAAGAAGGATGTAACAATACAAAGGATAAAGCGTAAGGGCACCACTTTGGGTTCCAAAATTATGAAAACCCGAATATTCTTTTTTGATAAAAAGGGGATACAATTTCAAGGGATTTTTATTGCTGAAATGGAATATGTTATACTCAAGGAATTGTTTTTACTATTTGATTTATAATGAAATAAAAGGCAAAGTATCCCACCATTTATTTGTTAATTGGTATGAAATTTAATTCTTGTTATAATAAGCTGGATCCCTGTTTTGGCCAAACATGCCAGATATGTCTCTTAGCATGTTGAACTGTTTACCTGATTAAGGTAATAGTTTAATTACCCGCTCTCAATCAGGTAACATTTTCTTTTGGATTTTCACATCTCATTTTTCCAGTATGGGTTATTTTTGAATCCGCAAGGTAAAAATATTCTACCTTCATCTTCACTTTGAGAAGTTCTGCTTAACTCATAATAAATATAGCTCATACTTAACTTGTACATATACGATTCATTTTTTCATTCTTGATTGTAAGTAAACGCGTGAAAGTCAAGAATGAAAGTAATTTCGTTTCTTTTCCCATACCCATTATTGATACGTAAGCATATCCTTAATTCCAATGTACCAAACTCGATACCGGTCCAAAATAAGAAACTCGTCTCATAGGTGGGTTGTATGTATTTTGAAAGATGGAAGGTATATTTTTTTAATGGAATAAAATCCTTATATCCACACTCATATAAGAGTCATATATATATATGGAATAAATTGCAATAATATATATGCAGATACTTCTTCGTGGAACGTACAACCATGCAGACCTTCCTATTAAAACCGTTTCCACATATAGCAAATTATGCTCCTCATTTTTTCGGTAGAAAAATATATGCTCCTTCAAGGCTCTCTCTTACACTCTCATACAAGGCCACTAGGGAAGGCTGCTTTTGCTTCACCGAATTATGTGAAAATGGCTTCCAAGTTCTCCTTCTCCTTCTCTTCCAAACACTTCATTCTCTGTCTATTTATTCTCTATCTGTGCCTCTTAATCCTAATTTTATCATCATTTATACCCGCGAAGCCCAGAAACCTTGTTATTACCAGTCGACACCAACAGGTTTTTAAGAATGAAATCAAGAATGTGGATTGGTTCATTGCCATTTCCAAACTATTCAAAATCAAGGGCAGGAAAATTAAGGTTGGTTTGGTCAATGTAGGTGATTATATTCATAGTCAACTTCATGGACTAGAAGATCATGTTGAGACAGTCTTAGTAGGGTTTGAGCGTGTGTCCAAGGATAAAAAATGGGGGGACTATTTTCCAGAATGGATCGATGAAGACAAGAAATGGGGCTCCCCGAAGTGTCCCAAAATCCCAATCCCCAAATTGGAGGGGTATAAGGACATCGATGTGGTGCTTGCCAAAGTTCCGTGTGACAAGGAAGGGATTAGGGATGTGTTTAGGTTACAAGTTAATTTGGTGGTGGCTAATCTAGTGGTGGGGGAAGGGTGGATGAAGCCTGATGCTCATCGAACGGTGTATGTTGTGTTTATCGGGTCATGTGGGCCCATGGTGGAGATTTTCAGATGTGATGATCTTTTGATGCACCGAGGGGACTATTGGGTTTATATGCCTGATATTGGGAGATTGAAACAGAAGGTGCTTATGCCTGTTGGTTCTTGCCAACTTGCTCCTGGTTATGCAGAAACAGGTACTAATTAGTTAACTAATAAGAATTCATTCATGCCGTTCTAAACCATATTTTTAGTCAACATTTGGTTGGTTATAGTTGGTCAAATATACGGTATCACATAGTGTCAATGTAAATATATATAGACATAGTTGCACATACATGAGCCAATTTGAAATATATATAATTCACATAATGTTACAAATTATCTGGGTTTGTAAATATTTTGAATATGTTGCAGGTACAGAAATCTGGAAAAAGTTCATGTATAACTCAAGCTCATGGACCCCATACATCAAGCGGAGGCTTGCGTATGTAACAATCCTGCACTCTTCAGAAGCTTATGTCTGTGGAGCAATAGCTCTAGCCCAAAGCATCAGACAAACCAACTCCACCAAAGACCTGGTCCTCCTTGCTGATCACTCCATCACTCCCCCCTCCATCCAAGGCCTAACCGCAGCAGGGTGGAAGATCAAGCAAATCGAAAGAATCCGAAGCGCATTTGCCCGCAAAGGGTCATACAACGAGTGGAACTACAGCAAACTCCGCCTGTGGCAGCTCACAGAGTATGACAAAGTCATTTTCATTGATGCCGATCTTTTGGTCCTAAAAAACATAGACAGGTTCTTTATGTACCCACAATTGTCAGCTGTGTCAAATAACAAGATGTTGTTCAACTCTGGCTTGATGGTTGTGGAGCCATCGAATTGCATGTTCGAATACCTAATGCGAAAAACGTTCAAGATCAAACCATACAATGGCGGTGATCAGGGCTTTTTGAACGAGATTTTTACATGGTGGCATAGGTTGCCTTGGAGGCTAAATGCCCTGAAAATGTTTAACAGGCCAAGTAAGGAAGGAAACAATGAGATGGCCAAGGATCTTTACGCAATACATTACTTGGGGAAGAAGCCATGGACTTGTTACAGAGATTATGACTGTAATTCGGAAGCGAATGGACGAAGTGTTTTTGCAAGTGACTCGACTCACAGGAGGTGGTGGAAAGTGTATGATAAAATGCCAGAGGAGCTGAAATCTTATTGTGGGTTGACAAAGAAGATGGATGCAGAGTTGAAGGAGAGGAGAGATAGAGCATCTAAGGCTAATTTGTCTGATGGGCATTGGAAAATTGAGGTGAAGGACCCTAGACAATATCACTTGAATATATAGAGCTACATAGCTTTGATGTAGTTTAACATAGCATTTACTCTTGCACCAGAGGTTCTATGTTTGATTTTCCTCCTCCCTGAATATTCCTTGTATCAAAAAATAGCCACTGCTTTTTCTTTTTGGGTACTTTATGTAATTGTGAAATTTGGGTTTTTCTTATGAATGGGTATGTAACTATACCATTTAATTTCTATAATTTTTTTTTTTAAAAAAAAAAACTCTGCTATTGCCATCGGTCCTATTATTTTTTTTTTTTTTTGGTTTGAACCACGAGGTGGTCCTGGATAGGCCCCAACTATGGGGGGCACCCTTCAGCCTTAACCACACATCGAACCCCTGACCTTCTCTTAAGGAATGAGAGTGCCGAACCACTCACACCAACCACCTTGGTTATCGGTCCTATTTTTGAGTTTACTTAATATACTACTTTCCTGTTTTACCCTTTTGTTTTGAGTGTTTTGGGGTTTTTTTTTTTTTTTTTGGTAGGGCTTGTTTTAAGAAAATCCATGACAGTTTTGTAAATTATAGGGAGTTGGAAGTAGGGGTGGGCACGGTACGGTACGGTACGGTATTGAGCCCATACCCCTACTGATACTGGAAATTTGAATCGGTATGATACGGTACGGTATTATGGTTTGCCAAAATTGGTACCGTACCGTACCGTGCCAAATCGGTACCATTTCGGTACCAAAACGATACAACTAAAAAATGAACTAATTCAATATTCAACACCAAAATAAGTGATGCCTAAGTTACAAATTCAAAGATTCAACATATTCAATATCCATCAACATATTAAATATTCAATATCTATTAACATATTCAATATCCAAATCCTAATCAACATATTCAATATCTAAATCAACCAAATCAATATTTATCCATCAACATATTCGTCAAATCCAAATGGTTAAAACTCATGCATTATGGCTTACAAACCAAAATAGTTAAACTTATGGCTTATGGCTTACAAAAATACAAACACAATTCAAACATAAATGACAAAAATGTTTGAGAAATTGAAAGGCAAGCGAGAGACAGAGAGCGAGAGAATGAAAAAAAAAAAAATATTTCAGTAGAGTACTATTTGGTACGGTACGGTATTGACCGGTATCAAAGTCTTGATACCGCTACCATACCATACTCGATTGGTACGGTACGGTACGGTACGGTATCGAATATCTATCGGTATCAAATGAAACAGTATGAAATCGGTACAGTACGGTGCGGTTAGGGTACGGTTTCGGTATTTCGGTTTAAGATGCCCACCCCTAGTTGGAAGCCTCTATTTTATGTTGTAAATGAGCTTTATGTATGTTTCTAAAGTTTATTTCATGTAAGGTTTTTTATTTATAATTTGGCCCATTATATTGGTCATAATAGTGAAACTCCATTTTCATAATTTGTTGGGTCGATTAAAGTATTAGGTTAATTGGGTTCTTAAAGAAGAAGAAAATTATGATGGGGTTGAATGTTTAACTCAGGGTGGCCTCATTTGTTACAATAAGCCCAGCCCAACTTGGAAATGGGTTAAGCGTATATGGGCCCAGGTGTCCCTTCTCCATGTAGGACCATTTCTGTAATTTCAATCAATCAATGATTAGCTCAGTAGCACTCATAAATATTTAAATATATATATACATATATGTATATACAGTCCCCTTCCATTGAGGGATCCCTCAAATAATTTTATTTGAGGGACATCCTTTAAGGTACCCTACAAATTTTTTCTCAATGATCCAAACCATCTATTTTTAAGGTCTTCATTTATAGATCATCCTTACAAAAAATTAGACAAATCGGAAACCGTTTTGACATCCAATTGTGTCTTACAAAATCAATGAACACGATACTTCAAGAAAATACTAAAATTTCTATAACTCAAATGAGTTGTCAAATGATATCGGATTCAAGTAATTTTTTGTAGAGATGATCTTTGAATAAGTATGTACAAAATAGACGTTTTGGATTAGTG